AATCTGAACTCTCTTTACTGAGTTGCCATGGTAGTCTATTTATACAACTCTATCCATCTAGTCTTAGTACAACGCACATGCTATAACAGTAACTAGATAACATACTGGGCTGACTCTGCGCCGGCCTCTGCATGTGGCTACAGTGCAGCAGGAGGGCCGTGCGGCGCCTGCACCTGCAGCGGCTACAGTATCATAGCAGGGGGCCTTTCGGCGTCGCCTTCTCTTGCTATGTTCACACAAGGTAGCAATAGATTATCTAACAATCTTCCCCTAATCCTACTGCTAACCCTTGTACCCCCTCCATGCCGATCATCTCCTTCAGCTCCGTGAGTCGAAGACGTCCGAGCGGCTTGGTGAGGACGTCCGTGAGTTGCCGACCAGTTTCGACGAACTCGATGACGATCTGCCCTCCATCGACATAGTCCCTAAGGAAGTGGAACTTCACGTCGATGTGGTTACTCCGGTCGTGCAAAACCGGATTCTTCGCGAGGGCGATGGCGGGCTGGTTGTCCACCATCAGTGCTGGTGGGTGAGCTTCCACGCCGGTCAGCTCGCACAGCAGCCGGCCTAGCCACACAACTTGGCACGCTGCTGTGGCCGCCGCTACGTACTCTGCCTTGCACGTAGATAGCGCCACCACCTTCTGTTTCAGCGACAACCATGAAATTGGGGCCGACTCGAGGAAGACGAGCGCGCCAGAGGTGCTCCGTCGTCCATCGATGTCCCCTGCCATGTCTGCATCACTGAACATAGTGAGTTGTAGCCTACTCCCGTCGGTCTTTTGGAAGATGATCCCATGATCCACCGTTCCCTTGATGTAGCGTAGTAGCCGCTTCACCATAGCCCAGTGATCCTCTTTGGAATCCTCCATGAAGCGACTGACATAGCCCATGGCGAACGCAATGTCCGGTCTCATGTGGACTAGGTAGTGCAGACCGTCGACAATGCTCCGGTAGAGTGTTGCATCCACCTTCGTCGCGGTGCTGGCCTTCGTCAGCTTCAGCCGCTCCTCCATCGGAGTCACGCATGGCTTGCACTCAGCCATGCCGCTCCGCTCCAACAGCTTGGAGGCATATGCGCTCTGACCGAGCGTGAGTTCCTCCTTTCCCTTTCTCACCTCGATGCCGAGGTAGTAGGAGAGTGCGCCGAGATCGCTCATTCGAAAACGAGCCGCCATCTCACGCTTGAAGCTGTTGATGTCCTCCGTGCGTGCGTCGGTGACGATTAAGTCATCCACATACACACCGACGACGAGCTCCTCCTCCCCGTCGCCGCGTGTAGAGCACGTGCTCGGTTGCGCACCGCTGAAACCCAAGCTCGCCCAGCATGGCATCAAGCTTGACGTTCCATGCTCGGGGGGCCAGCCGCAGCCCATAGAGCGCTTTGTGTAGTTGGAGCACCCTGTGCTCCTCTCCCTTGACGGCGAAACCTGGAGGTTGCCTGACGAAGACCGTCTCCGCCAGCCCGTCGTTGAGGAAGGCCGATTTAACGTCCAAGTGATGGACATACCAGTCCTTTGTTGCTGCCAAAGCAAGTAGCAAATGGACTGACTCCATGCGCGCTATTGGCCCAAAGACCTCCTTGAAGTCTATGCCCTCGTGCTGAACAAAGCCTTGGGCGACGAGGTGCGCCTTATGCTTGACAATGGTGCCGAGCTCGTCCCGCTTGACCTTGTACACCCACTTTAGGCTGATCGGACGACATCCTGGAGGTGGATCGACGAGCTGCCAAGTCTCGTTTTCCTCGATCACTTTCATCTCCTCCAGCATCGCCCGTCGTCTGTTTTCGTCCCACTCGGCCAGCGCGAATGTGGGTGGTTCCTCTGCACTGATGAGCAGCAGCTCTGCGTCATTGAGCAGCCGACCAGCCAGTCCTGAGGGTCCTGTGCCATCGACGATGTCGTCCAGCCTGCGGAACCGCACCTCCTCACCTTCGTGGAAGACATCCACGAACTCAGTGATGTCACTTGGAGGTGAGGCGAACTCGATCGGCGTCGATGGAGTTCCCTGTTCTGTTAGAGTGCTCGGTACAGTACCTGACGTGCTCGGCACCCCAGGTTCAGTGCTCGACACTTCTTCTAGACTTCTCGTCATAACTCCTGCAGTGTTCGGCCACACCGTAGGAGGGCCTAGCCTCAGTCTTGGAGTAGTCGCGACCACTGTAAGACGTCTTGGCTCCTCCATGGGGGTGCTCGACACCCGTCCTGGAGTGGTCGCCACCACTCCTGGCGTGCTCGGCATCCCTCCCGAAGTGCTCGGTACTGCCCCAGGAGCGCTCGATTCTACCGCTGGAGTGCTCGGCGCCCCTCCCGGAGTGCTTGGCACCTCTTCCCCAGCGTCTCCACCACCGTGGATGACCAGGTGCTCGACGACGAAGGTGCTGGTGAAGCTGTCAGCTTCCCCTTGGACTGCTCCAGTCCCAAGCCGCCTCCTCGTCGAACACGACATCGCGTGAGACAAGCACCTTGTCTCCGTGTGGGTCGTAGAGCCGATACGCCTTGGTACCCTCCGCGTAGCCTAGGAACACCATCGGTGTGCTCCTGTCCTCCAGCTTGGTGAGATTCGGCTTCATCTTCCTGACGTGGCCGATGCAACCGAAGGTCCGGAGGAAGGACACGCTCGGCTTGCGCCCATACCAAGCTTCGAACGGTGTCTTGCCCGTCAGGGCCTTGGTCGGAGTGCGGTTGAGGATGAACACCGCCGTGGTCACCGCCTCCCCCCAAGAACCTTGCCTTGCTGTGTTCACACAAGGTAGCAGTAGATTATCTAACAATCTTCCCCTAATCCTACTACTAACCCTTGTACCCCCTCCATGTCGATCATCTCCTTCAGCTCCGTGAGTCGAAGACGTCCGAGCGGCTTGGTGAGAACGTCCGAGCGGCTCTGATACCACTTGTTGGCCCATAAGATCACCGGCTTAGGTGAGTGAACCACTCACCAGTATTGTCGAGCACCCACTAGCCGTGCCGACCACGAACAAGTGTTGTCCGTCCCCACAAGCTATGGCTAGAGCTAGAAGAAGAAGGGAGAACAGAGCATACAAACACAGTACAAGACACCAGTGTTGGCCGAAGCCTTGTATGGGAGATGGCAAATCTGAACTCTCTTTACTGAGTTACCGTGGTAGTCTATTTATACAACTCTATCCATCTAGTCCTAATACAGCACACATGTTGTAACAGTAACTAGATAACATACATGACTGACTCTGTGCCGGCCTCTGCATGTGGCTACAGTGCTGTAGGTGAGTCGTGCGGCGACTGCACCTGCAGCGGCTACAGTATCACAGTAAGGGGCCTTTCGGCGCCATCTTCTCTTGCTGTGTTCATATAAGGTAGCAGTAGATTATCTAACAGCATGTAGCAAATAATATACGGAGTAAAGGATACATACACTGCTGGTGGATGGGCTGTGTTGCTCCCAATAAGGCCCTCCACGGTGTGGAGTAGAGCCGGAAAAAAAGTGAGTCTAACGGTGGATAAACAAGCATGGGTCTTTCATAGTTACGGTATGTAAAAAATTGGCGCCGAAGCTATCCAGGCATGCAACAATAGAGGTGCTGCCTATTGGCTTTCATCTGACACTAACATCTCTCCCCTCACAGGATAGAAGAAATATTATTCGTTATTTGCAAGGCACCAAAGCTTCAACTTGCTCCGCTCCAGATTTTCAGATGTTTGCGTTGGTAGCTGTGATATATAGAGTGATGCCTGAAGGGAGAGAATGTTTGGCCGTCACTCTAGAAGCACACTGTAGGGAGCATAATTAAAAATGGTGATTTCCTGGAAGAGGGATATGGGAAATAATTGGTCAATAGACCTTTGCAGGCAGAAGCACAAGCAGCCTGATGAGTTTTAGTCGAGTTTCTCAATTTGGAATCAGTCGAATTATACTTGAAACAAATGCAACAAATTAATATTTAGAAAGGCCTGATCAGAGATGGATAGGAGTGTGGATGGGTGCTTGTTCCGTTAGATTAGAAACTTCATTAGCGAGTCTTTTGTGCTATGTGGAATCCGAGTATGTTCGAGATCATGGAACAAAGTGGTTAATCGCCTAGCTTTGTATGGGGCGAGAGCTGTTGCTCAGGGTAACTGCTTTGGTCTCTGGCGATCTGCCTGGAACCAATGGTTAATGGAAGACATGCTCTTCCTTGCAAAAATGATTTAGAGGCAGTTTGAATCCTTTCATTTTGAAGGAATTGAAATCTGCTTAATGAACTAGACTATTTGGCTTGAAATTTGACATTCCACAACTTTTCCAAGTTCGTATATAAGCTTATCTCAAATTCATAGGGTGGTAGATGAAATTGATTCTATAGATCATCATGTTATGTTTCTACTCTCCAACTGTTCTTCAACTCTCTTCACTACAATAGAAATGCTACATATAAATATCTCCCTTGTATGGATAACAATAATATACACATATATTTTATATACAACCATATTAGTTTAATTAATCTATGTCTAAATTATAATTATTAGAATGAATTCAATGAATTCAATTCCATAATCCAAACGGGACCAGCAAATTTGCGTACTGACGTGGTACACGCGTTATGCGTACACACCATGCAATTGCTTTTTCGCCAGTGTGTCCGAAGGAAGCAAGGAATCAACACATCTGTAATCTTATTTCTCGTGCCGGACCAAGATCTTGTACAGTTAATTAGAATTTCCGGTTCAGTCTAGTCTAGACAACAAAACAAGCCTGGTATTGTTCTTTTCTCTGCCTTGCTACTACAAGATTGGCATCATTTGCAGCATTGGAAATCCCTTCAAGATAAAGCAACGTAGAAACCGCTTTATTCCTCTGATTCATGGACCAAGCAAAGGTAACCTTGTCAGTTGTTGTCTCTCTCTGTATGATCTTCCTATCTATAAATTTCTCTTCACAATCTTCTCCACCTCTCACACAAGACATCCCTACATCTTCTTGCTGATCTCAGTAGGGCTGAGCTATCTAGTGTTACACTGAAACCAGCAAGGAAGTAGGACAATGTCGACGGTCACTTCTTGCACCCTTCTGAGCCTCGGGTCCGCAGTGCGTCCGGCAGTCTATTCCTCCGGGAGACCAGCAGCGGTGGGGGTGGCTTCCCTTTCTTCCCAGAGGACGCCCCGGCCCCTTTCTGTGTGTTGTGCGACCAGCCAGAAAGGGGATCACAACCCAAAGACGGATTTGCATCCATTTAACATCCCTGCCTTCGGTGAGCCCGCTCGCCGATACATTTTCTTTTCTGGTTCAATGCATGCATGCGAATATATATCTTGCATTATAGTTAGTAGTGTATTTCAATCCAACACTACAAGGCATATTGTAACATGCGTCGGTATATATGGTGAAATGACAGTTCTGGTGCACCCGGTTCCACCACGTGAGGAACGGTGGCAGCTGGAGGAGGACGCCGAGAAGGTGAACCTGTGGTTCGAGGTGCCTGGGCAGTCCCAGTATGACCTCGCCGTGGAGATCGACGAGGACGTACTCGTCATCAAGAAGAAGGTCCATGTCGTCGGTGGGGACGTGGGGCAGCGGAGCCCTGGCGGTGGCGTCACGGATTATGCTCCCCAGCAGCAGACCCGAAGGGGCGCCACGGCGACAGAAGCTAGCAAGGAGGTGGCGGCACAGCAGGGCGGCGAGGTGATCTACGCCCGGATGCTCCTCCCGGCGGGGTACAGCAGGGAGGGCGTGGAGGCGGAGCTCAAGTCCGGCGTGCTCAGGGTCACTGTCGCCAAGATCAAGGAGCGGGCGCGCAGGAAGATCGACGTCAGCATTCAAGTCAAGTAGAAGCATACATGAATTGAAGGAGTGCTTTTGATTTGTGCGATGTCCAACAGGCTACTGCGCGCGGTCCGTCGATCTCGATCAAGTACTCGATCGCGTAGACCATATATATATTATGTTCGTGGGCTTTGTGTTCCCATGTACTTCAATCAATAAAATAAAATGAGCACCTGTTGTTGTTCTTCACGCAAATACAAATATTGTTCCTTTTTTTTTGTGAGGAACCGACAAGCAATCTTTTTTCCCAGATATATGCTACTATATATTATACTCACAGCGTAAGAAACAGGCTAAGGATTATGAAAAAAAAATGTTGTCATGGCCCTGCTGTACAAGTGAGACCCAATCTTACAAGAGCACTTATCAAGATAGAGCAACCAGATCATGAGATTGACAAAGTTATTATAGCACCCGCTGTCAACGGGAACACAGCTTACAATTGAAAGAATTGCACCTTAAATTTTAAAATAAATTGAGAGAAAAACTTCGGTTAAGTTGAGAAGCTAAACCTAGGTATACAAGTTTCACCATAAGAAGGCTACTTCCTCCGTCCAAAAAAAAAGGCGCAATCCTAACTTTGAACCTGGACAAACGCTTTGTCCAGGTTCAAAACTAGTATTGCACTTTTTTTTGGACGGAAGGAGTAACCAACAACATAGTGTTTTTCCATTTTTCCAATAGACATGTTGATTACTTTCAGTACTTTTGAAGGATGGCAGAATTTCTCTTGAAGTGTGAAGACAAGTAGGTGACCAGTTTGATTATTGTGTTGTCCCGTATATGAGAGTTTCTTGCAAGATTTTTGCCCCCTCATCTATGTACCCATTGATTTAATTCTCAATAAGCATGATCAACAACACCTAGTGGCACTTGATAATCGATTAAACCATGATTTTTCCCTCTTCATTATACGGCTATCGATCCTAAATACACTCACATCATCTATGGTGTCTTGAGTGCCAAAACAAAAACCTATTTGATACTTTTGCCTTGATCAACCTTGGGTTTTTATTTTTCTCTCTTCTTTTCAAGTTGGAGCTTGATCACCATCATCACATGTACATCTTCATCTCCATGGACTTCATCTTGCTCCACCACTTGGCTTGGACCATCCTATCTTGTCTACACACTTAACTCAAGAATTAGTCCAATGGGTTTCATCAATTAGCCAAAACCAAATAAGGCTTTCAACCATGCCAACACGGCCGTGGGTACAGCACTGCCCTACCACTCATGGCTGCTTCAACCTAACAGAGTAGGGGAGGCATGATCACAACAATTCTAGATCTCCTATGTGCAGAGCAAGATCAAATGTAGCAGCGGCCTCAGATGGATCCAATAGGCGTTTGCCTACTCCTCTCTCTACTTTTGACATTCGGATACATCGATGACCTCTACCCTCATCTCCCCTCGATCCCTTCTTTGCAGATATGGTCCAATCCAAACACTTGGAGATTGGGGATGGCCACGGAGAGTGGCTCGCCTCAGGCGAGATGGTGCCTTGATTAAGCAAGAGGGAGGGGGTTGCTCTAGTGTGGTCATAGGCACTAGTTCAAGTAGGCACCATACATCTTCCTCAAACATTGTGTAAGGCATATGGGGCTATGGTGGTGTGTACAACTTGTGTTCTTGCATGAGTGGCATGCTGGTGCTGTTATCACTCATTGGGCAAGGAATGGGATTTTCTTAATTGGTTTTCTTAGATGGGCTAATGTCCCTACCTCTTCTATTTCCTATTAATTAAGGCAACTTCCTAGAGATGGGTGAGCGGCCTGCTCATAACATGTTATTTGCTTCCCTTTGTAAACCTTAATTTAGAAGTGTGCACTCATGCTAAGGGTTTAAGTTCTAAAGAATGAGTTATTCATGTAAGCTAAACTAGTTAGAATTATTGTGATGGGACTTTACTAGCATGATAAAGGTTGACTAGAATAGTAATGTTTTATAGATATGGGCAAAATAGGTTAACCGAGACATGCACTACACCGCCTCTGCTTCAACGTCTGTGTTGATCCTGATTTACAAAGACCATTGTGCATGAACACCACTTTTAATCCAAATAAAAAACAAAAAAACGCAGCCCCAAATGTGCAATCGAGCCTGGGCCTCGATCTAGGTCGCTGAGGCATCACCACGATGTCGATACGATCGAACACCACTGCCACACCATCAATCCACATGCTGCTGCCACGCAGTTGATCTGCATGCCACTACCATGTCGTGCTTTGCCTCCTTGCCACCACGCCATCCTCTCTCTTCACTGTCAGGCCATCCTCTACCTTCCCCTGCCTTCCTCCCCCCTCCCCCTGCCTCCGCCATGATGTCCTCTCTCCCCGTACCCTCGCCATCCATCCTGCCACACCTGTGAGGAGGAGAACAGTGAGAGAAAAATTGAGAGGAAAGGAAATAGCTATCATCTTCTCACATTGGGGAGCGCCACCACATATCTTGGAGCTACATGTGGTGAGGAGAAGATTTGGCACCGCCTTTCACTAGATTCGCCTCAGCCTCAGCCCTAAGCGCTTTGGAGCCGTAGGTAGATGACCTTGGGTCATGAATAGCCAACGCCGTGGGGGTTGGAGTTTGGCGCCGCAGCATAACTGGAGAGGAGAAGAGCCGGTGAGGATCTGCTGCCACTCGTTTTGGAGGAGGCTGGAAAAGGGGAGGGCCTTGAGTGCCACTACTGGAGGGGGGCAGGCTCGGAGTACTGCTGTTGTAGAGGAGCAGGCCCCTAGCGCCACTGTCAGAGGGGAGCACCGCTGGTCTCAAGATCCAGAGAGAGAGAGAGAGAGAGAGAGAGAGAGAGTGTGTGGCTGGCTGCTGATGGGAGGAACGAAGGTACGGAAGGTGGAGATCTACTATATGTGCTAGAGTTTGGTATGCTGGACGAGTTGGGCCGGATGGGTTGAAATCAATTAATAGAGACGGGCCTGTTAAAAGGTCCACCTCTAAAAATAGCACTCATTTTCACTCAGAGGCGGTAGTGTCTATGAAATAGCCCTCTATTAGTCCTGAGGCTTCTTCTGAAATCAAGTCTGTAGTAGTGGTTAAGCTCAAGTTTCAGAGATGATGCCTTTCTCATAGCGCAGCAAGATGTTGTCTAAACTTTAAGTGCGGGTGATTCTAGTATAAAACAGACGAACCACACCAATACATGAGTGTAACTAGAATACATTAGTGTAGGTGTAGCTAGTGTATATATATATATAGAGAGAGAGAGAGAGAACTTACGAAGCAAGATAATGACAAGAACAAATGGAACGAATCAAGATCTCCCTACTCTTGAAGCAAACCGAGCAAAGCAAAAAAGAAGAGAAGCAAACACCATTCATTTGGTCCACACTACTCTGAAAGGCCTGCAAGATCGGCATCCTTCCACCTTGTCTCTGAAGCATCAAATTAAACTTTTCGTACCAGAACAAAGCGGGATTGCCAGACAACCCGGGCCACTTTATTCCATCATAGCCCGAGCAAGCAAAGGCCACCATTACCATTTCTCACTAGTGTCTCTCCCTATCCATCTGTCTATTTATATAGACGCTCTTCTTTGACACCATACATATGTGAGTACTATAGAACTCTCCAAGTACGCAAGAATTAGCATGCATTAAGATCTCTCCCATTCCTATCTCTTCCACACTAGTGTTGACAAATGTCGACGATTATGGGGTCTTACACCACTGCAGTGAGACCATCGCCAGTCCTGCAGACTTCCTCTCTCTTGCTAGCCCGTGGTTCCTGGAGGCCCGCGGTGGCATTGCGGCCTTCTGCTACCGTGAAGTGCCGACGGCGGGCACTCACCGTGACGTGTGCACTCCCGGAGAAAGAACGGCCACCGGCATTCAGCATCCCGCCCACTGGTGAGTAGAGTACATGTATGCTTTCCATTTCCTTAGCTGGTGGATCAGGAATTCAGCATCGCTGACGAGAGCATGCGTTGCAGCTCTGCTGTGCCCCGTGCCCCTGCCAGACGGGAAGGAGCGGTGGGACATCAAGGAGGAGGATGACCGCGTCACGCTGTGGCTCCAGGTGCCAGGGCTGTCGGAGAGCGACATCGAGGTAACCACCAGCGAGGACGTCCTCGAGATCAAACGCAGGGTCACCGCACAACAGCCGGCGCTTCCTGGGGACGCGCACGGCGTGGGCGCCTTCCACATCCGGCTGCTCTTGACCAAGGAGTACGACGGCAGCAACGTGACGGCCGACCTAAACGCCGGCATGCTGGAGGTCACCGTCCCCAAGAACCCGCAACGACCCGGCGAACGCGTCGTGCTGGGGGCGCCCAGGCCAACGCCCACGCCCCGTGGAAACGAGAGCAGTACCAGGAAAGGTCCTCCTCAACCACAGCAAGAAAGGAAACCGGAACAATCCCCGGGGAGACAAAATACAAATGGATCGTCGTTCTAGCTGGCTGAGGGCTTTGCAGTCACTCCCGCTCGGACCCTGCTTTTCTTCTGTGTTGAAATAAGCCTCTCATTTCTAGCTCCGGGTGGACACAAACCAGCAATCGGCTTATGTTGTATCAATTGCCTGGAGAGAGCTTACGCTGTTGTAGTATCTTGTGTGTTTCCTTTAAAAACCTTCTTTGTTTCTTTAATACTCCCCCCATTTCCAATTATAAGTCATTTTGACCATTTTGTTATGTATTTAGATACAGTACATTCCATTTTGCTATCTATCTAGATATAACGTATGTCTAAATACACAACAAAATTGACTTATAATTTGGAATGGAGGAAGTACAATAACAAAATCGACTTATAATTTGGAACGGAGAGAGTACAAGTGTTCTGGGCACCAAGTGGTCGGGATTCTCCCATCGTCAAAGGTCCTCCCCTATTAAACAAGTTCTGATCAAGTGGACTAGGGCTCGAGATAATTGGGAGAATTTTGAAGCTGCCTGGTGATCAGACCTGCGCAGCCCACTGGACTTCCTAGGAATAATCAGCCCAAGTCCACAAGCATGTGCATCTCCAGCCCAAATTGGTCCATTCTGGGTAGAG